GCTCTAACTCATATCACTTTCATTTTATGGTTTGCATCTAATTTGATAGCACTTCTTTTCAAATCCCTATAGGTAATACAAATCTATGGAGTAGAACAAGAAATGATGGTGGGAGCCAGATGCATCCAGAGCTCACCAACTCCTGCAACAACAGCATGGAATACAAATATCTTTTAATGAACATTGTTCACTAGACTGCAACCATACAAACTGGGGTGTATTCAAGGTCATGGGTGTATTTTAACAAATACATTTTTCAACTTTGTGCTATCAGTTTAAACACTAATAATGACCTGAAATTATAAACTCAATTTATTTACCTGCAAGGCTGTATGAAGGGAACGCATACATATGGACCGTACACAGGGATCATGCCTCTTGTTGCCCTTCAAACACTGAATTCCCCAAGGACAGCAGAGTTTGCAAATGTTTACACCATTATCCAATTAACAGACAATAACACTCCAACATCTGTCAACAAACAAAGCTGTTGTTTTGCTTCGCTGCAAGGCATTTCTGTTCATTTGGCTTGTCTATGAGCTTAATTAACACACCATACTGGCCTATTATAAATAAACTTTCTGTTCTCTTATTTTGTGTGGCTCTTTACAATATCCTTTTGTTAGTTTGTTCTGGTCCTTTAATCATCAACTTTCTATGGTGACTTAATTTACTCATTTCATGAAGGGTATAATGTATATCATTGGATTTAATAGAAAATGGAAATTGAAAACAATTTTACAACGATTTGAGCCAGAATATCTTTTGAAACATGAGACCAATAAGTATTTTTGATAATTGAATTGATTTAAGCATTCATCCCAACCAAATTCTCTTTATAAATGTAGTAGGGAATAAATGCAGTTTACGAAATGTTTTGAAAAACAAAATAAAAACTGTATCAAAATAGTAATAAATGCGAAATGACTAAAGGGACGAAAATAGACTTGAATTTGAGTTTGTAAAAATAGTGGAACAAAGTTTTGGAAGCTGTCAACAGCAGGCAAGACAGGAGAAAAACATATGCATTGATAAATGACTGTGAAGACTGAAAGATGCCAGAGGCACAGACGCTGATAGGGCAGAGACTTTTCTTAGCATTTTCATGAAGCACAACTCATTACTTTATCTTCTGCCACACTTCCAATGGTACAATAAAGTCAACTTGACTCCAGTTCATGATCTCAGCCTTAGTTTTGGTAAACAGCCTAAAACAATTTTATATTCTGTTATTATATTGTTTCATAATTTTAGTTAGAAGTTTAAAATGATTTATGAATATAAATGTTAATACATATTTCAAATAATAACATCTCTGCCTTCTAACTCTGACATTGTGATCCTGCAGGAGCAGCTCATCAATTTCAAGTATATTACTGGTCAAGACTATTACTTTACCAAAAGGTCATTCATAAATATACACACATATACACAAGACTGTATGATCTTTTCTGATGTTGCACATGGAAATTCAAGACATATCTTAAGAAGAAATGGAATTTTGGTAAGGGGATAATTGGATTAACATCCAATCTACATCATAAATTATACATTTTATTTTGTCATCATAAATGCTGCATAGTTGCTTACAGAAACTGTCTACATTAATATAGTATTATTATGCCCATCAATCAGTGATGGTTCCACCAATTTCTGTGAAAATCTGAGCAACCTAATCTGCAAAACATGGGTATTCTGCGGACAATCAGATAATTATAAATTTAATAGTTAACTACTGGTCTCCAACCAAGCAGTTTATTTTAAACCAAACATTTCCTAAACTGTGTTTATTCCCTACTACATTTATAAAGAGAAGGTGGATTTTGGTTGGGATGAATGCTTAAATCAATTCAATTATCAAAAATACTTATTGGTCTCATGTTTCAGATGGTTGCACCACAGAAATAACAAAGAACTGTCAGAGGCAGTTCATATAGCATGTATTAAGGTTGTTCTAGCAGGTAAGTCCATTTTATCAAGGATCAAGATTCAAATTAAATGCATCTTCTTTTCACCCATAAGAATTTGTGAAGGATATACCATTCACAAATGCCCTCCTTTTGAGATGGTACCTGAACAGCAATAGAAACTATGTTCAACATTTGTATTCCAACTGACTGTCAAATTATTTATGTTCTGCATCATTCAACTGATATACCACTCAATTTTGCTGCTCAACCATACCTAAGCCTTGTAATAATTTCAACAAATTAATATGATCTGCAACTCTGGTCATAATGAAAGAAGGAACTAATATTATTTCTTTAAAATTAACATCAACTCTATTTTCTACTTGATATTATCTGAAGCCTTTTGTTCTTCATGAAGGAAAGTATAGAAATTGAGTACAAAATGAATCAACCTAGCACTCTCTTTATGTCAGTGCTGATGTTTGAAAAGTCAAAGTACTAGACTCACTACTGGATTGGCTCAAAAAGCAAACATGTACGAAACTGAAAATCTATAATTTAATAATAGAAGTGCGTTCAAAATATGCATGCACAATGCTAAAGTAATTTCCACTTCAGTAAAAAAAAAACTGGACAGTATAATTGCATTCTCCATCTGTTCTAAAATTAATATTGCACTGGCAGTGATAATATAGAGATTATTAATGAAGGGAGAAGAAGGGGAAGTGACTCCATGAATACTTAAGCAATTTTGTTCAAGTCAGAAATGTGCAGGTCTAGGTGAAGGCCATGTGATATAAATAAAAAAATTCAGATAAAGTTAATAAAATCTGAATTGGAAAGTAGATATGTCAAGCAGGAGCATAATAGAATCAGAATGAATGGGCCTTCGTTTGATATGAACAATCATAACAATCTGAGGATTGTGATGACTATTGGATCACTATTCTTGCAATGCATGTCATCACATAATATATATGTTTGTCACTTTGCAATTAACTTCATAGATCGACAACTTTATAAACTATATCCTGCAGTTTGTTAAGATGTTATAAGTTTTGGCAAAGATCTGTAGCTCGGGTTGTGGGTGAGGTTGTTGACTTGCTCATCGAGCTGGTTTGTTAAGATGTTCTTCTCGATTGTTTCATTTTCTGCATTTAATGCCTGCTTAAGCCTTCACAGCTGCCTTATTTTTGTAAGAAGGAAAATACCAATGCAGAACATTGTGAAAGATAATGGTTCTGAAGGGATTCATGTTCATGTACACTGATTCCACCCATTTGATTGATACCACACAGACTGTGGGTAGGGATAAGTAGATCTACTCCAGCTTTTGGAGGGAGCAGATGTATCGGTACCAACCAAGGTCTTAATAATTATGCCTAAACAAATGCTATCATGCAATAAATCTTCTTGTTACGCAAAAGCGATGCCTCATCTGTAGATGCAGTATAGTAGTGCATCTTCTACCACAAATCACTGGATATGCCAAGACAAAGGAGAACTGCAGGCAGCAAACTACTTCAAACAACCTTTACCGAGTACAACATACTGGTTAATGTTTCAAATACCATAAGGTCTACTTGGACTTTAATAAAGTTTTTGACAAGGTTCTGCATGGTAAACTGGTTAGTAAAGTTAGATCACATGGGATTCAGGGAGAGCTTGCCAGTTGGATACAAAATTGACTTGATGATAGGAGACAGAGGGTGGTTATGGAAGGTTGTTTTTCGGACTGTAGACCTGTGACCAGTCACGTTCCACAGGAATTGTGCAGGGTCCACTGTTGTTTGTCATTTATGTAAATGATTTGGATGAGAATTTAGGATGCATGGTTAGTAAGTTTGTGGATGACACCAAAATTGATGGTATAATGGACAGTGAAGAAGGTTTTTTAAGATTACAAAGGGATGTTGATCAATTGGGCCAATGAGCTGAGGAGTAACAAATGGAGTTTAATTTGGACAAATGTGAGATGTGGTAAGATGAACAAGGACAGGGCTTATATAGTTAACGGTGGGGCCCCTGGGTAGTGTTATCAAAGAGAGACCTCAGATTCAGGTACACAGTTCTTTGAAAGTTGCGTCACAGATAGATGATGGTTAAGAAGATGTCCTGCATGCTTACCTTCATTGTTCAGACTATTGAGAATAGGAGTTGGGACATTGGTGAGGCTTTTGGAGTACTGTGTACAGTTCTGGTTGCTCTCCTGTAGGAAGGATATTATTAAATTGGGCAGTGTTCATAAAAGATTTACAAGGATGTTGCTGGGACTGGAGGGTTTGAGTTATAAGAACAAGCTGAAACTTTTTTCACCGAAGCGTAGGAAGTTGAGGGCTAACCTTGTAGAAATTTATAAAATCATGAGGGGCAGAGAAGATGAATAGCAAAAAGTCTTCTCCCTAGAGGAGAGGAGTTCAAAACTAGAAAGCATGTTTTTAAGGTGAGAGGAAAAAGATTTAAAAGGGACCTGAGGGGCAATTGTCAGGTGGTTTGTATGTGGAATGAACTGCTAGAGGAAATGGTTGATGCAAGTACAGTTACAACATTTTAAAGACATCTGGACAAGCACATTAATAGGAAAGGTTAGAGGGATATGGGCCAAATGCAGGCAAGTGGGACTAGCTTAGTTTGGAAAACTTGGTCAGCATGGGTAAGTTAGAAAGAAGGGTCTGTTTCTGTGCTGGATGGTTCTATGACTATCTGTAAAAATAGCATATTTTGTACTGCAACATATGGCAGAGACCGAGATATTAGTTGATGACCAGAGGAGTTTTTCCGAACGACATATGGAGTTAATGCTGATAAAGGAATTAAGAAGTTAAGCTTTTGAAAATTTGCACAGCAGGTTTTAATAAATCTGACCAGAAGGATTCTTTTAAAGAGAAGCTGCTGATTTTCTTCTCATTTTCTTCATATATCAGAAGCTACACAAAGTGGTTAGTATTTCACAATGTTATTGTATGGCAGAAAGTAAAAAGAAAAGAACCAAATAGAATATAATCTGTTTGGAATCAAGATCAAATTATTTGAAAGCACGTATAATACAAATTGTAGCAGACTCATAAAATAATAACATGAAACACTTACGTCTCTTCTAGGGAAGGTACTCAGCAGTTTGTATTCATCCCTTGGGAAGCCTTTGGAAGCCACAAAATCAAAGACAACTTGCAGCCTGTTGCTTGCTAGGAAACGCCGTTCAAAGAATTCCCCACGTGGTGTTCTGATGCGTAGCTTGCTGACAAGTTCAATGCTCTCCTCCCTTGGCTCTGGAGGTAATGATTGCTCAAGGGACAATCGAATAGCCTGGACAAATAAAGAAACAAAAACCTGAGCAAGTCCTCAGGTCAACTTTATCTTTCTTTTATCTTTATTAATGGTGCACAAAATATTGACAAAATAAAGATTTGGTCTGTGCAAACATAGATATGACTTATACTCACATCCAAATTAACACGAGGAAAACATGGCTAACAAACAAATGATGGTTGGTCATTCCACAGAACACATTAACTAGACCAAAAAGATCCTTTGGATTTTTCAGCAATTCTGTCAGAAATTAAAGGTCACCAAATCTCATTATAACTTCACAAGGGATTACAATTCTTTACTTGCAATGACTTGACCTTGAAACTCCTTCAAAGGCTGTTGTCATAGAATCCCTAGAGTGTGCAAGCAGGACATTCGGCCCACTGAGTCCGCATCGACCCTGTGAAGAGCATCCCATGCCACACCTGTATCCCTGCATTTCCCATGGCTAATCCACCTAGCCTGCATTTCTCTGGACACCATAGGCAATTTAGCATGACCAATCCACCTAATCTGCACCATTTTGAACTGTGGAAGGAAACCGGATACTGGGAGAATGTGAAGGTTCCACACAGACAGTTGCCCAAGGGTGGAATTGAACGTGGCCCCTCGCACTGTGAGGTAGAACTGCTGATCACTGAACCATCGTGTGGCTGCTCACATTCTGGTGTCCACCCTTTCCTGGGACTATGCTCCTCTGGATTCTTGGAAAATGCACTCCAATACTTAATCACAGGAGCTACTCCATCTTTTCACCGTGAGGATAACCAAACCAGTACTACCCCAGGATTTGTTTCCTGAACTCTAATCTCGCTCAAGGAGTCCTAGCAAAACTGGAGTCAATGGGATTCGGGCAGTAAGCTCTCTTTGGATTGGAATCATTCTTGGCACAAAGGAAGATGATTATGATTGTTAGGAGTCAATTGTCTCAATTCCAGGACATCTCTGCAAGGGTTTCTCAGGGTCCTTGGACCAACCATCTTTAGCTGATTCATCAATGACTTTCCCTCCATCAGAAGGTCAGAAGTGAGTATGTCCACTGATGATTGCACAATGTCCAGCACCATTCAGGACTCCTCAAACAATGAAGCAGTCCACGGCCAAATGGTGCAAGACCTGGACAATATCCAGGCTTGGGCTGACAATGGCAAGTACCATTCATGCTATATGAGCGACAGGCAACAACTATCTGCAACAAGAGAATCTAGCCATTGCTTCGTGATATTCAATGGTATTTCCAATACTGACCTCCTCACTATCAACATCATGGGAGTTACTATTGACGAGAAACTGAACTGGCCTAGCTAAATATTGTGGCTCCAAGAGCAAGTTGGAGGCGAGGAATCTTGCTGTGATTAACTCATCTCCTGACTCTCCAAAGCCTGGACACCATCTACAAGTCACAAGGAGTGTGATAACATTACTTGTTTGAAAGACTGCAGCTTTAACAACACTCAAGAAGCTTGACACCATCCAGGACAAAGCTGCCTGTTTGACTGGTATCAAATCCACAAATGTTCAGTCCCTCCACCACTGTCGCTCAGTAGTACATACCATCTACAAGATGCTCTGCTGAAATTCACCAAAGCTCCTGAGATAGCACTTTCCAAACCCAAGACCACTAGATACATGAGAACACCAATACGTGCACATTTCCCTCAAGCCACTCACCATCCTGACTTGGAAATATATTGCTGCTGCTTCAGCACTTTTTTTCTTTATTCATTCACAGGATGAGGGTGTCGCTGGCTAGGCAGAATTTATTACCCATCCCTAATTGCCCAGAGGGCAGTTAAGAGTCAACCACATTGTTGTGGGTCTGGAGTCACATTTAGGCCAGACCAGGTAATGATTTTTCCAACAATTGACAATGGATTCACGGTCATCATTAGACCCCTAATTCCAGATATTTTTATTGAATTCAAATTCCACCATCTGTGATGGCGGGATTCGAATCTGGGTCCCCAGTCCATTATCTGGATCTTGGTATTATCGCTGGACTGTTAATCTAATTAGGCTGTTGACTCCCCCTATTGCTAGATCAAAATCCTGGAAACCCCTCCCTAACCGCATTGTGGACCTTCCTATAGTGAATGGGGTTCAAGCAGGCAGCTCACCATCAACTTTTCAAGGGCAATTAACCGGGGATGGGCAATATAAGGTGGATCAGGCAGTGATACTCATGTCTTAAGAATAAGTTTAAAACAAAAGTTGCACTACTGTTTGTGGACCTTCAACTTCCACTCTCTGCTGCATTCAATTATTAGTGACACACAGTTTCTTTTGAGCTCTTCACTGCTCCTAGGACTCTTCACTGCTCCTAAGCCCTCACTATTCAGAGCTATTCAACTGCTTTAGCATTTCTCTGAGCTCCAGCTACTTTCACGTAGTTCTGCTGCCCAACTATAAATTGTGCGCAGATTTGTTTCAAGCCCGACAAAGCTCGTAGGAATCTTGTTCTCTCTCACTACTATCTCCATCAATATCCCTCTTTCAATATCCCCATCCTGCCTGTCACTCTGTCCTACCATTCCCATGCACTTCTTGTTCGCAGAAGGTTTATTGTACTGTTATCACTAATTATATTATGGTGCAGCCACTTTTCTTCCAGCTTTAATGCTTTTGATTCTTATGCTTGCAAATACATATAGAAATCTACACAAAACTATATGTACACAATAATATGCACGTGTGTACTGAAAACAACATATCTACAACTATTCAACAATATTACTAATGCTATTGACTTTAAAGCAAAGAATTTTTAATTGGCAGAAATAAAGCAATTACCTAATCAGGGAATTAAAAACATCAGTAGCTCATTAAACTCTTTCCTGTTACATATGGTCAATTCCCAATGTTACTATTCTCCAAGGCTTCTCTATACTACGTGAGTTAACAAAGAAGACTGCCTTACAAGAGTACAACTTTGTTCATCAAAACAATTAGAATGATAATGTTAATAATACTAGATAGAACAAATACCAAGCTGAATAAACATTGATTTGGCCACTAGAAAAACAAATACAGGAAGATGCTTTATTCCTGCAAAGAATACTACAGCTGTGTGTGAAAATTAGAATTCGAACAGAGATTGCGGGCAAGCGAGTACTTTATACGAGAAGCAACAGTCGGCAAGATTCAAACGTGAAAAATAAGCGCCAGACTTACTGCTGGTAACAATGAAAGCTGTTTAAAGTCTATGCTTGCAGGTAAACATCTCATATTAGGTTGGCTTTTAACTAGTAAATTCATTGAGCCACAATAAAAATTTAGCCCAAAAGCAATATTACAGAAAGCATACTGAGGTTCATAAGTAAGGGTTTGGTGTTAAATCCAAATTATTTGCAATAGTAATCTAATTTAGCCAAATTACATGTATGTGCTCTGATAAAAAGCTACAGGTTCACAACCCAAATTTGCACCTTCTCCAGTCCTGTAAAACTAAGGCCAAAGTAGCTTTGTCAAAAGGCAAAACACTGCAGATGCTGGAAATCTGAAACAAACACAGAGAATGCTGGAGAAACTTGGTAGGTGTGGCAGCATCTGTGGAGAGAGAAAAAGGGTTAACTTTTTGAGTCTGGAATAGCTTCTTCAGAACTGAAAGATGTAGGAAACTTTTTTGTACACATTGATAGAGGCAGAGGCCCAGTACAAAAGATTAGGGGGTGCTGATAGTGCAGAAAGAGAAAAAGATGTAAAATGGGTGTAAATTAAGGAGTGAAAACGAGAGAATAGGCTCCCTTGGCTAACAGCAAATCAAATAAGACACAATCAAGACAAGGCTGTGTGTGGGGGAATGTAAAAAAAAAAAAAAAAA